AAGCCCGGGGGGTGCCTGGGCTTTGCCCGCCGGTGCCGCATCACCCACGCACGGTCCCTGTGCAGGAGCCAGGGGCCCTGCGTGACACGCAGCGGCTCAGCGGCCACGGGGGCCCAGGGGAGAACTTGGAGCCAAGAGACTGGCAAACTGGCTTTCTCTTTTTCTCTTTGCAGCTCAGATAGTCTCCTCACCTTCTTTTCAGCTTCCCTCCGTTTTATATCCTCCTTTCCCATTCTATATTACTTCCCCCTCCAAATCAGAATACTTTTTTTAAACAACACTTCATGTAGTTTAAAATTACCAGACCCTCAGGGAAAATAGTAGAGTTACCAGGACCTCAGATACAGCAGTTACAAAACACTGGCTATTGGTATGTTCTTCAAGCTGCTTTCTGGGATTGTGTATGTGTGTGTTTTGCTTGTCTTTTTCCCTACAAAGACACCTATGCTTAACGCTTTGGTAACGCTTTCTGTCAAGTTGCTTGCTTGACCTCAGTTTGCTATGATATTCTGCATGATCGGGCCCTGAAATTCGTATTTTCATCCTTACTGATTAAGAACATTGCTTCTGCCACTGGCTGATGGCCTTTGAGCAGATTGGTCAGCTGGCTTGTCCTGATTTCTTCTTTGTAAAAAAGAATAACAATAATTCATAATGAATTCCAGATGAAAATCCGAAACCATGCCTGGTTATTTTTTCAGCACTCACTTGGAACTTCTTTCTTCCTCCACTGTTACTTCCTCATCCTCCTTTCTGTTCTCTCCTGACGTAATGGTGACTATGCAGATGACGTAAGAGAGTCATTCATGCTTTATAAATGTGTAATACTTTGTCCTTTGCAAAGTAATGTAAGTTTATCCTCTTTGTCTAAAATTTTAGAGTATAAGTATGAAAGTATACCGTCTTTATAATACTTCAATATGCATCAAGAGTCAAGCAAGGATACCATTCTTTAGCAACCTGTGTAGTTTTTTAGATCAGTGGTTATCAAGCTTCTGAGTTCTAGGAGTCCCTGTTGGCTCTAAGAATTAGGAATCTTCGCTTCAGACATAACTCAAGTGTTTTTCGTTAAGGTGGACAGCATCCTTCAGGAGATGACATGACATGATTGAAATGACATGAACAAATGCATTTTATAGAAAAAAAATGCTATCATCTTTAAAGAAAGAATTGAGATTTCAACCCAACACCAAGCATATGATAAATAGTTGAAGATTCTGTGGCTTCATTCTTCCCCTTTGGCACAGAGATCTTTTTAATGGCAAAAATTACTGAAGAACAGGTAATACAATACTTTACATAAATCCCAATGCATTCCATAATGGAGGAATGCCTCCCTTCATGTGTCATACCAGTTATAACAGGATGCTGTAAGTATCCGGTAGGTGATCTGTAAGTGCGTTGCCTGCATGTGCTTTCTTTGAAAGTCTCCTGCCTTATTGGTCTTGCATGTTCATTCTAATCTGGGATATGAGCAGACTTCCTTTTCTATGGTGCTTTCAGTGGCTATAAACTTACCACACCACAGCAACATTAGCCTTTTAAGGAAAAGTCGCTTCAAAATAAAAAATGAATGGCCATATAAATGGCCTTAAACAATTTAAATAATCTTTATGCTAAATTTTTTAAATGGGTATGTTATTATTTTTAAGGCAAGGAATTAGCTTAATATTAGAACTAGCTGGAATTGGAATTAGATCATATTGGAATTATATCGGAATATTGGAATTAGCTTAAATACGGTTGCCCATTTTTAGAGCCTCTATCTATTTTGGAGGCTGGCTGAAGCATAGCTAATTTGGCTTGGACGTGGACTGGATGCAAAAAAAACCCTTCCCTAATCTACACAAAGGTTGTTCTAGCTAAATGCCTGTGTGGGGAGACGACCTCCACCCTGTGAAAGGATGGGAGCCGTGGCAGTCGGAGCAGCTGGAGATGGAACTGCTGCCTGCGCTCACGGAGCAGCTGCTCACATGGGGGAAGAGCTCGGGTGCTGCCATTGACCACTTCTGTAATTCAGCACTTACTTAAACTGGGTTGGATTAATTTGCAGTAGTTTTGTTCATTTTAGATTTGAACTTATGTCTGCCACATCCTGGATAAGTGCCTCAGGCTCAGAATAGAAAGAAGGAACTACTACTTATGTAAGTCCTGTGGAACAAATCAAAATTATTCAATGAATTTGACCCATATTTGTGAAAAAATAGCAAAAATAACAACAGATTTTTATTCTGAAACCTCAATTATTTATTTGTTTATTTATTGAATCACTCATCTTGGGATATAACCCAAACCAAAAGGGAGGAGGAGAAATTACAAAATCATAGTCTGGCCAAACATGTGCCACGTTATCCAGGCAGCATCGAACTCCTGTTGTTGCTCATTTCCTATCCTGCTGACATTGTTTCTGCATAGGATGGGTAAAAGAGTGAGCATTGTAAAGTACCTGTCACTTAAAATACAACATTCATGACTGTTCAGATATAACATATACCTTTGCTGATATATGGCTTAACTGCCTATGCATTGTTAGTGAAAGAAAGGAGTTTTATTTTCATGTGATTCTGCCATTGAGATAAAATATTAAAAGCCCTTTAATTTTCTTTCCATTCTAACTGACTCCAAACCTGAACTGTTAATGCTTGCTTATTTCTTTTCTTAAAGAAAAAAATAAAATAGTTTTATGATTTCAAATCCACAAAAGATATGGGACAGAGTTTTCAAATGGTGTCTGCTGGTGCAGTAGGAGAAAACCTGAAATGTTTTACTAATATTATCCATTTGTGTACATCCCCAGTATGTATTCACACAACAAGATCTGGGTGTGATGTTTCAGCCTTAACAACACTGATGTTTGTGCTTCCTTGGGGTGAGCTAGGTGAACACAAAGCAATCCTGTCTGTGCTCCTGAAGTGATAGTCTAAAGAAGAGTGTGTGATGGGAGTTCTGCTGAGCAGGGACAAGAGCAATACAATACATTGGAAACATATTTGAAATTATTGTTACTACAACAGAAATCATTCTCTCTGAGATGCGTTCACTGGGCCATGTATCAGGGAAGAAAATACTTTCTTCAGAATGACTTTCATAAAAGAACCAGGAGTTAGTTGCATCTGATATTTCTGATCCAGCCTTTGGAGTAACAACAGGAATTGTTTTGCAACAGAAATATTAGATAACATAACCAGCAAAGCATTGCTCATATATCCTGTATGTTTTAACTAGCTTGTAATTCTGCAGAGTTTTTTCTTTGTGGTGTCAATGGGATCTTCTTTTCTGTCAATGTCAAGAACAGCATTGACTGACAGACTTTTGTGAAGCACAGACTTTACTGTGTATGATCAGATCAGAGTTTATGTTCAAATTAACCAACAGTAGGTATTTGAAACAATGTGTGAAGCCACATATGTTTTTTCTTTCAGAATTGACATGGAGCCTTGCTGTCTTTTTGGGAAGAGGTGGAATGCCTTACCCCTAAAGGCCTTGTCAGGTGAGCCAGTTGCCAGCAAGGTCTTTAGGATGGCCTGACTGGCTGACTGAGACCTTCTCTGAAGTCTGGAGCCACCATACATTTTGTCTGTAACTCTCACTTGCTTCTGTATGAAGGTGGAATATTTGTGTAAGTATGTGAAAGAAGTAAACAGCTATTCACTAAGCAAACAGCTATTACTCATTTTTGTAGTTTCTGGGATCTGTTTGTGTAAAATTTTTCATTATTTCTTGAATAAAATATAGTAGGAGGATAATGGAATGGCTCCTTCTGTGGAGATAAAACTGCCTCCCTCACCAATTCTGAAAGTTCTTATTCTTAAGAAATGGGCAATGTTCCCTCATGGGTATTTTCCATTTTTGCTATAACATAAGGCTACAACTCTTGAAAAAACTGTAACCAAAATTATGTTTTTGAACTAGTCCTGCCAAAGTCATGTTGAAATGAACAGATCTTGAAAAATTACTCTGATTTCCTGTTGCACTTGAGTTTCACCATTTGATAAAACAAGGATAGCATTCACAAAGGATAAGTCACCATGTGGTAGAGTTTTAGTCTGTTGTACTGAGAAATGTTTTCTTCTGATAGAGATCAGGACGCTGTTGGTCATGCTGATGGAAGTTAATGAGAAAACAGGCTGCAGTCACATCTTGGTGTGGGAGGAATTGCTTCATAAAGTTGATCACCCCGAAGGTCTTGGAGAGAACACCTAAAGGTAAGACAAATAGAAAGAACCATTCTTAGCACATGGCTTCATTCTCGGAGAGCATGGGAAATCTATTAATTTGACCCAAACAAGGGTACCTGAACAAGTGGGTAGGTCAGACTAGGATGAAAGAGTTGGCAAATTTGATCCCATTGAGGCTGAAGTAAGCAAATGCTGTTGAAATGGTGAGCAGAGCCACCATGAAACTGTCCTAAGCAGCCAAAAGAGTGCAGGAAAATTCTCCCTCTTCCTCCCAAGGATGCTGAGCTGTCATCCCTTCCTGTGTCCCACACTGTAGTC